CCCGCTCACTGGCTGAGCGCGGTGCAGGCGCAACACCAAGGGTTGCGATCCCCTTGCCGGTTAGTAAAAAAGACAAAAAAGGAAAAAAAAAAATCAGGTTTTCAGGGATCAGGCAGCATGGTGGCTTAATAAATATCCCTGTTGGCAGAGGGTGGTGAAATTCCCTCTACACAAACTGTGAGTAGAAGGGGGAAACATATCTTATTTCCTAAGATTGACTTAGATGTAAAAAGTTCAACTAAATACTATAGTAAAGAAACTCAGATGCTGAGAATTAAAGACCATTTACACTGGGAACACAGTCTTTGCAAAGCCCTCAGGTGGTAACCATCGACCGATAAAGTTAATCTGATGTAATTTGTTCACATGGTCTCTATGTTGAGGTTTACTGAATTCAAAGCATTGTGTAGAAATGGGTTCACATTTACTACCAGGAACTGGATTGCAATCCAGTAGGACTGTATGCTCTCCTGTTCCTCCATAAAATGGGCACAGAAAAGACCAATGCCTTGAGCACTCTTTTTGTACAAGGTCATGTTAGTATTTTGCAAGCACCCATTGGATTTTTTAGTTGTGTTCTCTAAAGTCGGTTCTTTACAAAAATTACTGTTTGTAAACGGATTTTTCTGTTTCCTCGGCGACTGTTAATGTGAAGATTAGCTGAAGTCACTGAGCATGACTTTCCATTGAGAGTCAGAGTACATACACCTAGTACTTGAGAAATGCTATATTTGCTTTCTGGACAAATGCATGCAGTAAATAAGCTAGAAGGGAGGAGCGAAGACCAGCACCAGAATGTCTTCACCTCTGACATGTTTTTCAGGAGAGCCTGGCCAGGCTGCAGAGAGCATTTGCCCGGAAGTGGGAATTCATTTTCATGCAAGCAGAAGCACAAGCAAAGTGAGTCCTTGTGAGTTTTCTGGAAGATGCATTCCCATCGTGGCCTTTTGTCCAGGGAGGGCCTGCACATAACACTTCTTATTCTTTGTTACCGTGTTGACAGAGTGGACAAGAAGAGAGACAAAATTGAAAGGAAGATCCTGGACAGCCAAGAGCGAGCTTTCTGGGACGTGCACAGACCCGTGGTAAGTGACCATCTGCAGGTCTCTGCAAAGCGAGAGCAGATGGTGCTGGCCCGTTCCACCGCCTGCAGTGTCGTGTGGAATGAGTTGGGATCAGACGGCCACTTTCGTGTAATATGACCAGATGTCAGTAGTGTGAACCTTAATTTATAAAATTATGCATTTTTCTACCATGACTTCTCTGGCTTACTCGAAGCATTTGAAGACCTTGATGCTTCTCCATACACTTGAAAGAAAGCTCTGTGCTGCCTCAAGTGGTTTTTTTGTGGCTTGCTGTTTGCATTTTTCTAGCTTTGTGGTGGAAGTAGAAGTCACAATGTTTAGCCTCCACTATTTTTTTTCTTTTTTGTCACCTAGTGATAACCTGCTTTGGTTGTCGACTTTCACAGACCAACATTTTTATATGGCACAAATTCAAATCATCTCGTACTTTTATTTTTATATTATTTTTATCTATGCATAGTTATGGGGTACAGAGCTGACCGTCAGTATCTGTGTACAGTATGTGATGATCAAATCAGTATTATTAGCATGTTCATCATTACAAATCATAATTACTTTCTCTGTCCTTTACTCAACTACTCCCTATACCCCGTTTTTCTCCCCCTTTCCCACCACTAGTAACTATTGGTCTTTTCTCTCCTTCTGGAAGTTTGACTTTTTATTATGGTCTTTCTTTCTCTGTTTTTTAGCTTCCACTTATGTGTAAGGACATGTGGCATTTCTCTTTCTGGGCCTGGTTTATTTCACTGAATGTAGTTTTCTCCAAGCTCATCCATGTTGCTGCAGCTTTTAGTGATGTAATATTGGATCTATACACAATAACTTAGCTAGTTTTCTTCCTTAATGATGTTAAACTGTGTGCCTCAGAGTAACAAATAACGAATGCCTTTATTTAATACCAGAAAACTTTCTGGAAAGAATTAAACAATCGTTGTGAACATCCGTAAGACAGCATGTCTAAAATCACATCTTTCTTTCTATTTTGATGCTATATTTTCTTCTTCTATAGATTTCTTTAAATATAGACAAGGCGCTAGAGAATAATATTTACATAACTATTATTAGAATAAATAACAGGTTCATAGCATGAGAGACAAATCAAGATTAATTGGGACACCTTGAAATTTTCCTCTCAACAACCTTCGGAGTCAGACCAAAATAGAAAGACTCCAAAGATTCATTTACATACATATGTATTTCACTTTCAGATAGCAATGCAGTTAAATTCTATATTGAATTTGCTCTGTCTTTCGAATTCTCGGAAGATTAGAATTAAGAGTTAACTGGCTTTGCTACTCAAAATTCAGTTTGAGTTTTATTGTTCATGGTGAAAAAGGATGATGAGATGACATGCATAGCTCTTGCAAAGATATGAAGTAGGATTTTTATTTGTTTAAGCAACCTCCAGAAACCTGTCAATACGTATGTCCCCATGTTTATCCACTTTATGCCCCCTGGACACCTGGTGGCCAATCTCTAGTCTCTCTCAGCTTCCATGTCCCCAGTACTCCTGGCAACCCAGGAGGACCCACACCATGCACGCTCTCCTGCACTGCCCACACGGCCTCCGTGCCCTGGGACTCTCATGCTCTCAGGCATGGAAACAGATGCCACCTCAACACACCCCCTTGCTGCACTGCCTGAGAATTACTCAGCCGGCCTGTGCTTCTGCTGCAGGCAGAACCTGTCCACAGCTGTTTTTCTCCCCTTCCAGTGAATCAGGCTCCCGTCCTCCCTGTTTCCCACCAGCAGGGGGCAGATGTGAGTCGTTCTCCACTGGTCCCTGCCCCACCCTCACTAGGCTCCAGTTAGAAAGTCATCCCAAGGGGGATCTGGAGGCAGAATCCACCCTGAAGCCAGCCATTGACTCCCTGTTCAACTGGAAGATGCTTCCGAGGGGCTTCATTTCACCTACAGTGAAGGTGACATGCTTTGTCGTTGCTTAGATTTCTACAGGAATATACGTAGAGCTCCAGGTTGTCTGTGTGCCACTGAGAACGGCAGTCACCTAAACCAACCCCACCTTCAACCATTTATTTTTCTTACATTACAACTTTTTACGTTACTTTAAAGGTAATACTTATTGGCATTTTTATTTTATTTTATTTTTTCCTTTTTTTCTTTTTCTTTTTTTTTTCTTTATAATAATTACATTCTTAGATGTTGGGGGGAGGGAGGAAAGGGGTTGGGGCTGGCTCACAGCTGGCTCCATTGCTGGCCTGGTTGTGGTTAGGGGGCAGGGCTGAGGCCCTGGCCCCCCATTTCAGGACCCCAGGGGCTTCTGGCTCCAGCCAGGTTGCAGTCAGCAGTGGATGAGCCAGCTAGCTCAGGACCCAAGGAGCTTCTATTAGCACTTTTAAAATGTAAACATTTGGAAGTGGTGCCAGACACTTGTGAAATGCTGACACTTGTCCGAAGGAAGGCCATGTCTACGCTGCAGGCACAGCCTTTTATCTTGTTTTTAGCCTCCCTGGGGGTTAATTGATACTGATGATGATGATGGCTGGGATATTAGCAGCAAGTACTCCTGAAAGAGCTTGTAATAGCTGTTTCCTCAGCCAAAGACGTAAGCTGTATTTCTATTTAACTAAGCAATAACAGGAAGAACTTTCTAAGATAACTATACTTCAAAATAAAAAAGTGATAGAAGGGAAAACAGCAATATTGTGATAATTTCCAATAATGGCTGTACTTTTGTGTCCATGCTAGAAATGAATTCTGCAGCTGTTGTAATAAACCCTTCATCAATATATTGACACATGCAAACCTGTATCCCAGAGTTAAGGTTCGATAGATTTTCCTGTAGCTGAGTTTCTTTTTCAGAGCCTGTCTTGACCATGGCAGTAATGGAAGACTCTTTCTACCCTGTGGTATTCATTGGAAAATTTAAGTGTCTTCTAGACAGGACCAGTAAAGCCAGGTTTTGCGTACTAACACCAAATTATTTTTACCTGAGCAATCTAGAATCCTAGAGGACGTGCAGGAAAATACCAGCCAGTATCTCTGACTGTCCTGAGGTTCGATCTGGAATGTCTTGGGCATTGCTGCTACCCAGCACCTCTCACAAGTGGATGTCCATTCTCTGGGAGACTGTCCCACTGTATCCTCTCTGGGCTTTTGTGATGTTGGCCAATGACCAGAAGCCAAAGGGAATGAACAGGGAGACCTGTGGCAGAGTGGGAAGCACGTGGGCTCTGGACTCAGGCAGATCTGAGTCCGTTGTTTTCTTGGCTCGCCTTGGTCAATGATTTACCCTTTCTGATACTCAGATGCCTCATTTGTAAAATGGAAATATACCTGCTTCGCAGAGCTGATGTGCACATTAAGTGAGATTCCATGTGTAAAGGCAGCTAGCATAGCACTTGGCGTGTAGAAGACAAAATATTCTCCACTTCCTTTGTGAAGAGATGCAGAGAGTAGCACAAAGAGGTAGAGCAAGGAACATGAAATATAGCAACCAATAATGCAAATAATGCCCACACGTCTTCGGTTTTGCTGACGTCTACCAATAGCAGAAGACAGTGAAGGGAATCACAGCGTTCCGTCTTAGCTCAGGGGTTTCAACCAGAATAATTTCTAAGACCATTCCCCTGCAGTCTCCTTTTCCCTTTGGCCCCTTGTTCCATTTATGTACACCTGGCTCGGAATGGGTCACCTTGACTTAAGGCAGAGGTGGCAGTCGTGGTGGTGACTGCTCATCTGCGGGACCTCTCTCTTAGTATCTTTTATTATTGACCACTTTGGTTTCCCTTATGCTTTTTTTGGTATTTATTCTGGCCTTTATTCTGGAGCTTGGAATCTCTCCCCTAGGCTCAAGCAATGCAAAAATGAAAACGGAGTGGCCTTCTTGGTGTTTATCAACCAGAGGAGCAAATGAGTCTGATTTAGAGTACCAGGAATGAGTCTGATTGTGTGAGTCTCCTCTTCAGAAGGTTTATTCCATACCCAGTGCTGTAGACTGGACGCCCCCA